ATTTGTGGTAGCGAAGTTTTTTAAGAGCCTGCTTAACAGTTATTTAGGATACATGCTCTTTTTGTTATAAACCTGCATTTTGCTTGTCAGTTACCTTAAAAATTAAAAATAAATTAAAAAACAGACAAAAATTGCAATCTAAATCAAACTTGACTTCCATCTGTTTGACATTCCCATGCTTTTTACATTCCAATGAACCTAAGAATGAAATCAAGGGACAAATTGAAGAATCATCTGATTTGCTTTATTTTCTTAAACTCATACTCTAGTTAAATCACATGATATGTACATTGAATTATAGAAAGCCAGGGCTTCTGTTTAAAAGCTTCCCTATAATATATTGCCAGTAATTAGGATTTGGAAAATATAGAAAGATTATCAGCAATTTTTTATAGTCAGATATACAGAAGTTCAATAGATTGTATGAATGATTACTGTCAGGTTTATTGTTGTGATTATAAATGGAGACTGATTTCTGTCAATTTTTTAAAGTAAAAAAAGAGTATGCTAAGTAATACTAACATACTGTAGATTTTTTATAGACAAACAATATGTGATCACCGAGAGTCAGTATTAATTAGTTGATATTAAATGTAATTAATTGATTAATGTATTGAATTTAATTTGCTGAGATGCAATCATATTAAATATGCAAGAAATATTTGGAAAGCTGTATGCCAGTCATATATGATGACAATTGAATTGCCTGCTGTAAATTTCTCATTTCAATCTGGGCTATTATGAGAATTTATTCTCCATATTACCCATATTTCAAAGAATTACACAAACCGTTTTAATGTTTACAGTATGCCCCTCCTTTCCCATTACATATTACTGAAGTTTTGAATTGATTTTTTTTTCCAGCCAGTAGTAAATATATTGTCACCCCAGACCAGGAAACAGTGGACCAGATGAACTTCAGTGACAAAAAGAGCAAAATCCGTGACAGGTTGCTGAAATTCTTAAAGAAGCGACCAACGATGGAGTCTTTACAGGAGCAGGGAATTTTGCAAGGTTAACAAGTTGCATCCTTGTCCATTTCAATTTTAAAACCAGGAAATTCTTCAGTCTACAACATTAATATGTCTTTGAAATGATATTTAAGTAGTTTTCTTTGTTTTTACTAGAGTTAGAGTAGTGTTTCTTTAAAAAGGTGTAAGAAATAATTTCAATTTGCTTCTGCATAGAACAGTGGAAATTTGTGTTGTTGTAATAGGGGCACACTATCCTTTTACCTAAAATCCAGAGAAGACATATTTAACATTTTTATTGAAGCCATTGGTTCCTGTACATGAAAATGTTAAGAAATGTATATATATTTTTTCAGTTAAGTTTGTGAAATGGAATTTAAATTTTAAAATGGTGAACTTTTACAGAGAGTGTGTTTGGGTCTCACCTGGATAGGTTATGTGAGAGAGAAAGGACCACAGTGCCCATATTTGTGAAAAGGTGCATACAGGCAATTGAGAACAAAGGTATGAGATAAAAGTTGTATTTATTTATTTATTTATTTTGAATTAGTGGAGGACATATCTTTGGAAGGTTCTGTGATGTTTTAGAGACTCATAGATTCATACTGCTCATTGGTATTTTTTTTCATTTCGGTTATTAATGAGATAAAAGTAGTGAAAATATTGCTATTTGTTATTGATGTGAAATTATAAACTTTCAGGTCTCAGTATAGATGGGATCTACAGAGTGAGCGGAAATCTGGCACAGGTGCAAAAACTCAGGTGTGCTGTTGACCAAGGTGAGGCCGTAATTAAATTTCACACCTGTGTCAACATTTGTATATGTACAATATTCATAAAATAAATGTACATGCATGTAATTGTGTACAAGTTTTTTATTATGTTTTTTTTAGTTTTTGTCTTTTTTTTTCTTTACTTCATTGCAGTCAAATTTTCAAGTGTATATATTCTACAGCCTTTGAATTTCTTTAATTGAAAATTTTTGTAGGGATTATGTCCTTACTTGACCAAGAAGGCAAGTTTTTATAGAAGTGTAGAAATGCAGTTTGAGATTCTCCTAACCCTGTTGTGTGGAACTTTATTCAAGCTTCTTTGTCAAGAGTAAAAAGAATTGAAATCAAAATTTAAAGATGAAAACATTGAACAAAGCAGTTACCATTTTCCTACATTTTTATCTAATTTGCCTTGTAGATATTTTCTTCCCCCATTTTATAACAGATTACTTTGTATTTATAAATCTACCAAAATAGATGATATAGCAACAACCTCTTCTATTTTGATCCATGAAAAGATACCTTCCATCTTGCTTTACTTCTGTCCATTTTGTTTATAAAGTGTGCTCACATCTCTGTTAACCAGTTTGTCTAAGAGAGCATTCACAACTAGGTGATCCACACACTAATCAAATATGATGGTCATATATGGTCAACCCACTTGAAAGCATGTGCATAATCCCCACATGGAATCTGTTCTGTGTCTATTTGGGGATTACATGGCAACCTTCAAGTTGGTCAGCCATATTTGATCTGCAGATTAGTTTGTTCATGGATCAACTGGTTGTTAAAACTCTCTTAAACTAGAAATGACGATAAATATTAATTGACATTGTCACTTGACAGAGGAGATTGCCGATTTCAGAACTTTGGGATTTGTAATGAGTCAAAGTCCAGTCCCAATTTTGGGCAGATTCTAAATTTACTTAGGCTCAGTCCCAGCAAGCGGATTGAGCATAGGTGGAATTATGATTTGCCTGAATTAGGATTGAGTTTTTGTCTGAATATACATGTATTCACTGTATTGTGCAGTTAATGATTTGGCACATTATTTTTTTAACTGATCTTTTATACACTGTTTGCTGTGTTTTCACGTGTAGACACACATTCCTGTTATAAATAACTTGAGAGACTTAGGCTGCATTCACATGAAAAATCTATTTTCTAAAAATCTATTTGCGGTATCTTGTGATCACAGTCTGTGCCCTGAATACCCTGCGGCGTAATTATTGGCAGTTCGGATAATTAATTACAGTTTTGGAAGAAACTGGCTTGCGTTGCCCGTAATTATGCTGTGGGATATTCAGGGCACAGATCATGATCACAAGATACTGCAAATAGATTTTTAGAAAACAGATTTTTCATGTAAAGGCAGGCTTAATTGGCTATACTTTCCATCTTACCTTTTTTCAGTGTTGAATTTTCAAAGATAATCATATTTGATAAAACTGAAAAATCATTGTATTTTGCCATTGTTTGTGTGCATGTAAGAGAGAGAGAGAGATCATGTGTGTGTGAATATTACCCTTGTATTTATAACATTGATATTTGTGATGAAAACAGTGATATTTGTGATGAAAATTTTATTTGCATAATTGGTGCACATTTTTATCTTTTCACAGTAATTTAAATAAGGGGAATTTAATGTTGTCTGATAAAGGAAACGGAAAAGAAAATAACAAATTTCAGATAATTTTTCCATTTTCAAATATAAAACAGC